TTTTACCAATTATTATTTCGTTAACTATTGCGAAAATTGCAAAACGGTAGAGGACTTTTCGACTCAGTTCAGTCCGCTCTACCTATTCATGTAATATTTTCCGGTTAGTCTGGGACACCCACGTATACGTGTTCAGGTTAAAATGATTAAAACTAATGAACGAACTATTGCGTATATTTATCGACATTACATTTATTTAAAATTTAAGGAGTATGGACATTGTGAAGGCCTGAAAAATCGGAGGATCTATGGGAATTTTTTTTTTAAATAAAGTCAGGTAATTTTGTTTTATGGTCTTTATTGTATCAATTCTGAGGTACGTAAAAAAATGTTTTTTGTCTCGATTACTTATATATGTATATAGGCTGCTGTACAAAAGGGTAATTTTGAACAGTTATTTTTGCCTCGTTGACAGCAAATACAAAAATCTGTTCGACTTGGTGTAAATTGCATTTTGTTCAGAAAACTTACCTCTATAGCAGGACGTAGGGAAATTACAAAATTGCAAAAAGTAACAAAATGGCGGACATATGAATTCTTTTTTTTTAATTTGGCCTTTTTTACAAAAAGCCTTTGTTACAAAAAAGTTGAATAAAATTGTGAAATTTTTATTAATTAAAAAACGGCTACGTCCAGCGATAGAGGTAAGTTTTCTGAACAAAATGCAATTTACACCAAGTCAATAGGTCGAGTAGATTTTTTGATTTGCTGTCAACGAGGCAAAAGTAACTGTTCAATATTACCTTTTTGTACAGCAGCCTATACATAAGTAATCGAGACAAAAAAAATTTTTTTCTCAGAATTGATACAATAAAGACGCCATAAAACAAAATTACCTGACTTTATTATATTAAAAAAAAAATTCCCAAAGAACCTCCGATTTTTCAGACCTTCACAATTATTTTTAAGTTTAAAGTTATTAAAATGTTTTACATTATGTATTTTTAATGTTTTACATTATAATTAAAATGTTATTTTTATAATAATATAAAATATAGAAACTCTTTACAATGATTTCTAAAAAAGCAGAAGTCTTCAACCTAATTCAAAAAGTTTATAATTCAGGACTCTGGGAAGTATAATTATATGTAAAAAATTAAAGTTTCGATGAGGTGTAACCTTCTCAAAAATTTTGTAAAATTTTTATTTTGCAGCAATGTTTTACAGCATATTACCAATTTCATAAAATAAAATATCGTCTATACAAATTAAATACAAAAATTATATATTATGACCCGTATTCAGAACGCGCTTATAATGATGTTAGCGCTCTAATATGCTGTAGTTTACGTTACGCATACTCTATAGAATATCAGAGATAAAAGTGCGCTTTTATCAATAAGAGCGCGTTCTGAATAATGACCATTAATTTCAATTATAGATTTATATTTTTATACAAGTTATTTTGAGCAAGAGATATAATTTACATTTGAAAATAATTAAACCAGATTTAATCATCATATATCACATAAAAATTTCCATTTATATGTTTATTACATAAAAATATAATATTTTAATTTAAATAAAAATAAAAATGATAAATATGCTTGTTTTCCCTCATATATGTATTTTGTAGAACTTTATAATATTTTTAAATAAAAGAATTATGTATTAGATTCGATTCAAAATTAAATATTTGATAAACTTTTATTTTTCTTAATTTTATTTTTTTATACACATAATTCTATTTAAATTAAGTAAATTCCATTATTAAACTAACTTATTTCAGCTTTTATTAACATATAAAAATAATATAGAATAGGATATAATGTTATGAGCGTCAAGCAAACATTTTGATATATCTAGCACACTGAAGAATAAAAAAATCTTGTGAATACCATTTAATTCATAGATTTGATGTTTTGCATATTTTAGTATTGAAATTGATTATTTTAATGCAAATGTTGAAGTAGTAGCGGTTGTTCTTATTATCCATTTAATGCTCATATTAGGTAGGATAACATGAGCATCTTTAGGAATAATACACAGGTATATCTATATATGAAATATTTATTAGAACAAACATTTAACATGTCAGTACAAATAAAATAACTTTTTACTTAAACAGTACTGAAACACATTCTAACAAAAATAAATATTTAATATATAACTAAACTGTTACCATTTGATAATACTTACTAAATATTTGTTGAAACCTTATAAAATTAGAAGAAAAAAAACGTAAGAAATAAAAAATAACGTACCTATTTATTTAAATAAATTTCCGAAGTTCATACACTTAGTTCAAACTTCGCAACATATTATCATGAAGACAGATCTTTTTACAATAATTAGTACTATTAATACTAATCGTTGTAGAAATATAAAAGGTGCTCATATTACCTGCTCGTAATTCTACCATAATGTTGTGTGTGTTATCTATTTTCTTTTAAATTGTTTAAATTAGCGTTTTATTTTATATGATAAAAACATTAATTCTAAGAATTTATGCTAATATAATATATCTTCTTTTTTTCTTACTAAAAATGAAATATAATAAAGTAAATATGATAATGAAATTGCCCGATGACGGTCGAGCAGGATTCTGGTTGCTAAATGTAATGTGTGAATTTTATTTACCACGTATGTAGTCCTCAATCGCGTGCTGAAATTTTTCCAGACTTACAACGCAACTCTAATCAACTACCGTAGTAATATCACTTTTTAGTTAAATTGACACAAGCAATCTAACAAATTTTTTATGCTTAAAGCATCTTATTGCATCTTAATAATATGTTGAAAGACATATTAAAATTTTAATGATATATAATGTTAAATTAAAGATAAATTAAAATCTGTGAAAAATAAGATTGCGAAGAATATCACAAGTTGACGTTTCGTCCCGGCTTCCCACTACTAGACTCATCAGTAAGATAATGTAGTGGGAGCCTACCTTAGACGCCTTGGGGAGATTTTAGAAAGAAGTTCTATATAAACAGATACACATGTATCTCGGTAGTCGGTACTTGCGAGAATTGGCAAGAGTAACTATAGACCTCTGTTGGCTGGTCGACGAGTGATAAAAGTCATACGACTTTATCGTCGAAACTCGCCAGCGTTGGAACCAGCACTTTCTAGCAGCGAGCAACAGGAATTAAGTTCAACACCTAATATAAAAATGTTTCATTCTTGAAAGTTCAATTAGTTCTTTTTGAAGACTTGAAACGTTGAAATTATTTCTTAATCTCAAATAAGAATAATCAATCGAGTGAAAAAGCAATATGACAAAACTACTCGAGATAAATTATCTTACATTAGTGGAAAATTATGTCTTTTCAAAATTTGTTTTCATAATCTTATGGATAGATATGGGTGAGATTTTAAATTCATCGATTGATCAATCGCATTGTGCATAGACGTAATTTTGTTCTGTAAAAGCTAGATTTGCGCATAATGCGATTGATCAATCGATGAATTGAAAAACTCGCCTATATATTTGCATTTATAATGCGCGTGGACTAATGTGATAGTCCTATTTCATATGAATAGTAAGACGTGCAACAAAGCTATTATAATCGACGATCTCTTGAATACGTGTAATCCACGATAACAAAGCCGATTAATTATATTTTACTGAATTAACATACACGGTACGAAGATTGTATCGCTACTGCATCAAGGATGAGGCATGTACCATCCAATATCCCCGTTTAATGTAGGGAATATGATTTGATTATCATCGCTTTTTTCGCAGATCACGAATTAAAAGCAATCACAAAGCAGCAAGACAATGGGAACATTTGTGACGTCTTTTCCAATACACAATATTTCTAGTTGTGTTTCTTTAAAATAAAACTGCGCATTGTACATACGTATACGTATATAAAACATGAATTTAACTTGAAAAATCTGAAACCAGAGATAAAAAGTAAAACTTATAGTATCGCGACTATTTCAAATATTTAGTAGTTGAAATATAATAGTTGTTGCAAATAATAATGATATAAAAATACAATAATTAATAATGGACTTCTTATATTTCTATAGAACGAAGAAAATTAAAATCAGCCAAATAGGAATCAGCGCGGTAAGACGTGCGCAAATTAATAGAGAGAGAGAGAGAGAGAGAGAGAGAGAGAATAGATATTTATTAAAACTAAAACATATAATACATTACATCAACGATTAAAATTTCCATAATTAAATCGATGTTTAATATTTTCGCACGTTTCGGCTATACATTTTAGCCATCCTCAATGTTCTAGAACATTAACGATCAATCACACAATGTCCAACAGGAAGCACAATTGGCCAAAGAAGTTACAATGCTTATTGTTAGCGAAATTATTATCAAGTCGAACCATACAAAACAGGAAAAAAACTTAGACATTATAATTTCGGCTCAAATAATAAATTAAAATAAATGTAGAATAACCTCGTCAATTTACTATCTTAAACGAGAATAACGTTTAAACGCTGTCACGTTCTGATGGACAATGGAATATTAAATCGATTTAATTATGGAAATTTTAATCGTTGATGTAATTACGTATTATATGTTTTAGAAAATATTTATTCTCTCTCTCTCTCTATTAATTTGTGCACGTCTTACCGCGCTGACTCCTATTTAGCCGATTCCAATTTTCTTCGTTTTATAGATATAAAAATAAAAATACAACACATATAAAAATAAATATTATATACCTATGTACATAAAAATAGAAAACTTCGCAATATATTAGAATAAAATTAAATGTTTTAATGAATTTGTTTGCTCGTTATATCCTTTCTCTCTTTATTATTAGTTTAAAAATAGAAACTATCGAATATATTGCGATATGTATATTAAACACTTTTATTTTTATAAAATAAATAATTCCATTTATAATAAATTAAGTAAATTCCATTATTAAGCTAATTTCAGATTATGTTAATATTATTCAGTTAACTTATTTCGGGCTTCGTTAACATATAAAAATAGTATCTCTAAAATGTAGTTGTAAATATAAAAAATAAATAATTTTTTTAATGTGTGTTATTTTCATTCTTATTTCTTTCAGGATATACGCGATGAATGAAATAACAGTACAAGTGGCTGAAGGAAAATTAAAGGGCGTCGTCGTAAATGGTTGTAATCACGTTAAATACTTGGCTTTTCGCGGAATACCGTATGCCAAACCTCCGGTCGGCGAACTCAGATTTAAGGTAAGTATACTTAATTTGTTGTTATACCAGGGAACAATATAATTAATTTAAATATCAATAAAAAGATAAACTTTAACTGATTTTTCTTATAATAAAGCCCGATCTACTTAAGAACGCGAGGCAGGTCGCAAGCTTGTAACATCACTTTTAATGGGCCTTTGACAATATAAGCCATAAGTTATAAATTATAAGTCATAAGTTAGAAATGGACCAATTACAGTCGTCAATTTTTAGTTTCTTACTTCTGATTTATGACTTATGGCATATTGTTCATTATATTATACATTAACTTGTATCTTAACTAAGTTAAATTTTCAAGGTTGTTAACTTTAACTTAACTTTTAGTTAAGAAAAAGAAGTAACTTACCCAACTCTGATAAATATATATTTTAATGTTGTAATAACTCTAGGCACACACAGGCCTGGATTAAAGGAGCCCGGAGCTATTTAACTTTAGGGGGCCCTTCTTTTCACTCTTTAAAATAAAAAAAAAAGGATGATCACGTCTATACGTAAAGCAGTATAATTAGATTATTTAATCCAAAACAATAAACATTAAAGTTGAATCATATAAAGATTAGAGACAAATAAATAAATTAATACATTCTTTAGTTAAAATTTTTTTTCTCAATTTTAATTTTACAAAATCTTGTACTAAATTATTAAAATCAATCGATCTTAGTAATTCAGATTCGATTGCTAAGCCAGTTAAAGATGTTAATCGTTCGTCCAACATCACTGTTCTGTACATATTTTTTATTCTTTTAAGAACAGAGAAAGATCTTTCTGCTTCACAATTTGCTATTGGTATAGTTACAAATATTCTAAGCGTTATGTAAACATTGGAAAAAACATCGATCATTTGCTTTTCAACTATCCAGTTTAATACACTTCTCAACAAAATTAAAGGATCACTTGTTTCTCCCTGCAAAAATAGGCAAACTTTGAGATAGAATAACTTCGTGAAAAATCATCGTATCGAGATGTTTAAAAAAGTATTTTAAAGCTTGAAATCTCTACTTTTCAGACCTATACTTGAAAAAACAGTCTTATTGATATTTCGTGAAGTTGCACAATCATAAATAAAAGTGTGTCAAACCTAAACATTTTTTACAAAATTTGCCAAATTCCACGGAGCCAAGAAAAAATTGTGCACAAATGCGGTTTACAGCTTTCGAAAGAGTGAATCTTTACCTTCAATTTATTTTTTTGTTGAGCACTGTATGATTTTTTTTCACCGAGTTATTCAACGTTTAAGTAAAAATGGCCTCTTTACATCAACGTTAAATAACTCGGTGAACAAAATTTATTTAATATTATATATTTTATAAATATTACTAAACATATTAAATTTAATAACATTTAGAGAAGGCTCGATAATAATAAATATTAAAATAATTTAACGGGCAACGAGCTGAAATAAAAGTATTATAATTAAGAAGAAAACAAAGAAGATGTATTTAAATTGACGACAAACAAATGTTTCGACACCGATCGGGTCATTCTCAATGTTAACAAATAATTAAAATATCAACGGAAATTTGATAAATAATAAGAATATTAACAGAATTTTATAAATCTTTTTTTGTATAATACGAAATAAGTATTAAACATTTTTGTTGTTTCATTTTTGCTTGCCAAAATATAGTCAATAATCATCAACGTCAAGGCCGAATTATTGTTCATTATTTAAAATTCGTTGAGTAGTCGAGGTCGCAAAACAAGCATCATAACGGAGCAACAAATAACAAAAATTATCTAGAAGGTATATAAAATAAAAATTATAATATTAGGACCTTGAATAAGTCCTCGCTGTTTTTTTTTCGTGAAAAGTAATGCTTTATTTAAAAAAATAATTTTAAACGTTTAGAAACTGTTGTGTAATCAACTCCTAATGATTCTGCAAGTTCAGCTAGCATCTGACATGAGTCTTCATACAGTAATGCCTCCAATTCTGCTATATCTTCAACATCAAAATCATTAATTTTGAAGCATCTAAACCAATCTCTGCATGTCAATAGCATTAATAAAATTATTTTTATGGAAACGAGGATGGCACAAACGAATGATTTTGTCGATAAATTCAAAGATAACACCTCTTTTATGACAGATAGGATGTTGTGAATTAAAATTTAAGAATCTACCAGAAAAAGTTGCTTTCCGGTATCCATTTAAAACAAGTCTTTCTCCTTCGACCATCAATAATGTATCTAAAAAACTTATTTTTCCATCTGTACCAACTTTTACTGTAAACTGTAACCTGGTGTGCAAAGAATTAAAGACTCTCAATGAGTGCATCCAGAAGCACGACCGCTCATTAAGCGCTCAGTGAGCTCTTGTACCTCTGTTTGGTTAATATTTTTAGATCTAATGAAATATGCCAATCAGATAAAAAAGCTCATTAAACGCTTAGTGAGCGGTCGTGCTGCTGGATGCACCTAATATATCATCGACAAGTTCAAAAGGTGCAGCCAAAATAATATCATCCACATATCGAAAATAAAAAGATAATCGACACGGCAGCATACTAATAGCAAGTTTCTTTCAAACCTTGCATGATGATTTTAGAGATAGAGAGGATCCCATGGGAGTCCCATAAATTTGTTTATAAATTTTATTATTAAAAATGAAGTATGTGGAATTTGGGACCATACGAAAGGCTATCATAAATTCATCCAATGGAATTCGAGTCTCCCTCGATATAACTCTCCACCTTGATACTCAGATGCAAAATCTACAGGAACATTAGTGAAAAGAGAGACAAATCAAGAGAAACCAGAACATAGTTAATATTGATCCTGACATTCTTTAATTTATTAACAAGATCAAAGCTGTTTTTTATATAGTTAGACGCTTCCGGTATGGCTTCATTGATAATATCATGTAAAAATAAAAATAATGTTATTAAGTGAGCTATTAATTAAAGACACTATAATTCTTAGTGGATTTTCCGGTTTATGAATCTTTGTAAGAGCCCATATGCTCTTGGAATGTTGCCGTCAGTCCATAGTAACCTCCGATATGCGTAATCATCAATATATCCCTTGTTTTTCCACCTAATCTGTAAACTACGTAAGTCGCAAATGATTTTTCTTATCCTTGACAATTCTCTTGTATGTATCTGTGTGAGAAAGCATGTTCTCCATTTTTTAGATGTAATCAACTTTATTTAAAATAACAGTGACATTACCCTTGTCCGCTATAGTAATCAACAATTCCGGATGAATCCTTACAAATTTCAATGCTGACTTTAATCATCCAAACAATAAATTATCATTGGAATCGAAACTAGGAAATCTTTCAGAAAATTCGTCGAGGATTGGTTTATTTCTGAAAAAATTAATATATAATTGTCCGAAAGACCCTTAATATCGTTTTCAATATATTTTATAAACTCGACCAACGTTCTATCAACGTTTTTTTTGTCAATTGAAAGTTCAAAACCCTGACCAAGTTGTAACAAACATTGTACCTCGAAAGGAATTACTACATTATTCACAAATTCAAAAACCATTTATCATTTAATAAATTTAGAGGGACCGGGTCTCCGAAATTTTCTGCTGTAATATGTATTTTCTCAACGATATTGTTGGAGGTCATGTTATCAAATTCGATGTTAGATTTAGTATCAAATATTTTGAGAGAATTGTCATCGGAAACAAAACAAGAGTAAGCAATAGGTTTTATTTTAGACCTTTCAATTTTAGCATGTTTAATTTAATCCAATGTAACTTATTATCTATCTATTGTGTTTCTTGAAAGAAATAGGAACTATTAATATTGTCAAGATATTTATAAAATTCACATGCAATGGAAGTTGATACAAACTTACAAATATCAAACTAAAAACGATTAATATTTTGTCTCGTAATGTGTAAATGATGGTATGCATCTTTTAGCTACAATTGCAAAATTGCTTTTACATTTTTTAGTTGGACTTTTTCTAACTTTATAGAAGTTCTATTATACAATAAAAGACTATTAAGATAAGTCTGTGCAAATATGGCGGAACTATATTGAATTTAATGCAATGTTTTATAAACTTAATCCAGACTCTAATGTTAACACTTAATTTAACTAAATGACAAAACTTCTTCAAATATTCGCAGGATTCTAAGCCAAAATGAAATCGAATGAAAGAAAATGTAAAACAAAAATTATTGTGAAATTTTAAATAATGGACAACAATTCGGCCTTGACATTGATAATTATTATTGATTACATTTTGGCAAGCATCCTAACGAACAACAAAATGTTCAATACTTACTTCGCATTATACCAAAAAGATTTATAAAATTCTGTTAATATTCTTATTATTTGTCAAATTTCCGTTAATATTTTTATTATTTGTTAACATTGAGAATAACCCGATCGGTGTCGAGCGTTTGTTTGTTGTCAATTTAAATACATCTTTGTTTTCTTCTAAATTGTAATATTCTTATTTCGGCTCGTTGCCCGTTAAATTATTTTAATATTAAATTTATCTTCACGAGTACATACAGTAAAAACCACTCACACTTTGCATGTTATGTAACAATCACGCGTGATTGTTTAGTACTTTGTACGTGCATGCTTCCATCACGTCGTGAGGACAATATTATAGCTTAATTCTTACACATATATATGGCGTGATGATCACACGTAAGAGGAATGTAAGCCCTCCAGTCAAATTGGATATCTGTTTTTTATAATCATATATGACAATACAATACGATCTTTTACGCTTGCACAATATGCCTTATCACGCGTGATTGCACAGTGACATCTTGTATGTTCGCACTTATGTCCCCATCACGTTGTGAAGGTGAGGTGATGGCATTCTTACACGCACGATGTGATGATAATCACGCGTGAGGGTATTATGAGCCCTCACCAATTGTTATCTGCGCTGTATAATTACCTTTTTTTTTTAAAAAGTAAATATCGCGTAAGCGTGTGTTAAATATAATTTATATATTTATGTACTTATATTTAGGATCCAAAACCATCGGAACCATGGTCTGGTGTGAGAGATGCCTCGAAATATGGAAACATATCTGTTCAAGTAGATAGACTGACACAGGAAGTTGTGGGCGATGAAGATTGCCTCTATTTAAATGTTTATACCACGAACATCAAACCCACCATAAAACGATCGGTAATGGTATGGATACACGGTGGTGGCTACTTTCTAGGTACTGGTGATTCATCGTGGTACGGTCCCGATTATATCATGAAGAAAGATGTAGTAGTGGTTACCGTAAATTATAGATTAAACTCTTTAGGTACGTAATTCATTATTTAAATGTAGGGGAGACCGGGGTTCCATGGATCATTGACTATTTAGGGAAATCCAGAATGTTTAGTTTGGTGCAATTGATATCATATAGTATATGATATTTAATTGCTCTATACTATATACTAAGTGAACTTAATTCCTGCCATTTTTTCGTCTCCAAAATTGATTTGTTTCGAAGGGAAGATGAACGAATACCTTAATCAAAGTAATTTTCTCCTTTCTATTACTTTTTCCCATCTCTCCGGCAACAGGGCAGTAGAACGGTAGAACGCAATGTCTTTCGAGGCGATCCATTCATCCACCCTTTTTTGGACTTCTTCGTGACTGGAGAAGTGTGTCCGTATAAGTGCGTGTTGCGCGTCGATCGAAAGAGATGGTAATCCGACGGTGCCAAATCTGAAGAACACGCTGGATGCGGGAAGATTTCCCATTTAAATTCTAAAAGTGTTTGCTTCACGCTTTTCGCAACATGCGGTCGAGCGTTATCATGCAACAAAATGACTTTGCGTCGATTGTTGACCACGGATGATCTTTTTACATCAATTCGTCATTCAATCGGCATAATAATTGCTGTTGGTAGCGATCAGCTGTAACGGTTTCATTTGGACGCAAGGATTCGTAATACAGCACACCATCCTGGTCCCACCAAATGCAGAGCAAAGTCTTATGCCCGTGAATATTCCTCTTCGGCGTTGAAGCGGATGGTTGGCCGGGGTCCATGGTCCATCCATAATTTTTTCCGCTTGGAATTATCAAAATAAATCCATTTTTCATCGCCAGTCACGATGGGTCACAAAAAACTCTTTTTTCTTTGCTTGGCAAGCAATAGACAAACGATTCAAAATGGCATTTTTTGACAACGTGGTAGCCATATCCCTTCCTTATGAATCTTTCCCATGGCATGCAAGTGTTTTGAGACGGCCTTTGGAGTAACATTTAATGCTTTCGACAACTCTAAAAGCGTTTGTGCTGGATGCTCATCAAGCAATTCTTGCAGCTCGACATCTTCAAATTTTTTCGGATGTCGTAGATATCCGATGGTACCCTGGGCATGGGGTACCATGAGTCATTTCTAACAATTTTTTTCAATTTTTGAAAAACAAATCAATATTTATGAAAAATACTTAATAAATCTTAAAATATACATTTTTCCTTAATTATATAAAAAAATGGAGACCAAAATTCTTACATTTTAATGTATTTTCTACTATTTGAATTTTTGTGATTCATGCTGCCCCGGTCTCCCCTATATCTCTTGTATGTTACTCGTGTTTATTTTCCAGTTTCTAGGAGATAAATATACATAGATACACTTAGACTTATATTTTTTATTTTAAACAAAATTAATATGTAATGACGTTAGTTTATCATCGAGTATTAAAATACAGAAAATAAAAATAATTAATAAATAAATATATTTATTTATTATCAACAATTAAGTTAGAACGGATATTTCTTTTTATTTATTATTACAGTATGTGCATATTTCTAAGACCAACATTTTTTCAAAAGCAAAAGATTATTTACAGAAAATAGGTAATTATTAATAATAGATGATTTGTTGTACATTCACATAACAGTCTTAACAAATACTGTATACATACATAATTATAATAGAAATTCTAAAATTTATTAGTTCTGAAACAAATACTTTCCTTTTTATTTATTTTAGAATAATCTAATTTTATCTAAAATATATCAACGATATAGGAGAAAGAATCAATATGATTTTAGGGTTTCTGAATCTCAATGACGAAGTGGCAGCAGGTAATCAAGGTTTGAAGGATGTAATATTGTCATTAAAATGGGTAAAAAGAAATATAATGGCATTCGGTGGAGATCCAAAAGATATCACTCTCTTTGGCGAAAGTGCTGGAGCATCTATAACACATTGTCTAGCTCTATCTCCATTAGCAAAAGGTGTACAATTTACACTTGTATTGATACAGACTCCTCAAATCTATTCTATTCAATCATAGATTCATTAATCAATTTAAACTTGATTTTTTTTCTTTGAGGGAAGCATTTAAATACTAATTTAACCAAGAACATCAAAAAGAATTAATAATTTTAAAAAGTCGATAAATTCTAAGATTACGTAGGGGAGAGTTGTCTAAATCGGACCTATTTACAGTTTTTGTTCTCTATAAAGCGTAAATAAAGTCCGATCATAAAACCAATGTCGTTCGAAAGATCATTTAATTTCCTTCATTTTTGCTTTAGACCATTTTGACCTATCTCTTACTTGTGTCGAACTGTAATGGAAAATTTAAAAATGCATTTTTATGGACTTCTAAATAGAATTTTAATATTTATTTAATTAATATTTATTTAAATTAAAAAGGTCTGATTTGAAACACAGTAAGATTTAGGACATTCTCCCCTATTATTAATACTATAGAAAGAAAGGAAGGCAAGATTTTTTACGGTAACGAATCTATGAATTAAAGCCACTACAATAACGCCTTGCAGGTTTATTCCACAAAATAATTGCACAAAGCGGTGTTATCTTAAATCCTTGGGCCTTTTACGATCAGACGGATGCAGGTTTTAGGCTTGCCAAAAAACTCGGAAAGGACACATCGGATCCAAAAGTCGCATACGAGTTTTTAAAAAGGGTTGATGCAAAATTACTTATTGACAATTCACTATTTGCAATTGCTACTGAATCAGTAAATATCTCAATATTTATGTAATAATATAGATTATATTTTAATATAAGCTCGATGTGTTGTATGTGTATAAAAATTAAAAATATATTCCAAGTGTATAAAAACGATGCCAAATATAATATCCTACCTAATTAAAAATGGATATGAAATAATACAATTAGCCAAGTATTTCATTACTCAAAAAACTTATTTGTAAAAAGTCTGTTGATTCTATGACACATAAGACAAAGTGAAAGTGACTAAATTAATTGGATAATAGTGAAGAAAACTCGGCGTGTGTACGAGGGTTGCTATTTATGTATTCGGAATAATAAACAAAAACAATAAATATTTACCATTTAAAATGGTTTTATTGTTTTTCATAGTATTCTCCGCGATGATCAATACATTTTTGCATACGTTTGGACCAATTTTCACAGCATTTTTTCCATTCCGATTGAGGTATCTCCAAAACATACATTTTGAACGCATCAACCGTTTGTTCTGGCGTCGAAAATCGTTGATCATGTGGTTTATTCTTGGCGTACGGGAATAAAAAGAAATCATTGGGTGCCAAATCAGGACTGTACTGCGGATGACCCATTAATTCGATGTTTTGACGGTCAAATATTGAGTCGTTTGGGCCGATGTGTGAGAGCTCGCATTGTCATAGTGAAGAATGATCTTGCGTCGCTGGTTGTTTTTTCTTATTTCTCCAAAAATTTCTGGCAAACAAATGGTTGTGTACCATTCAGAATTGACCATTCTACGATCCTCTAGTGATACTGTAGCCACATGTCCATTTATCCAAAAAAAGGACAGGCGACCATTTGCTTCGAAGTGCTTCTTGCGCGAACAACTTTTGTTGGATTTGGCTCATCTTGAAAGACCCACACAGTCGACTGCTGTTTACTTTTGGACTCATGCATAGATCCAAGATTCGTCACCTATAGATGTTATAGGTACATGGCTTTTGACGTACCACGATTTTATTTTTTGAGCATTTCTTTGCACCAATTGATACGAGCCTTTTTTTTGAGCGATTGTTAAATTATGCGGAAACCAACGCGAACAAATCTTTTTTACTGCTAAATGTTCATGTAAAATCTTGTGTATGCTTTTGTCATACTAATACCCAGGGATACTTCAATCTCACGGTATGTCACATGACGATCTTTCATTATCATTTCCTTGTTTAAATTCGTGAGTGAGTGAACGACGGCCATGATTGAATTCACTGAACCAGTGATATACAGTGGTTTTAGTGCTTCATCGCCAAAAGTCAAAATGAATTGATCGATACACTGTTGTTGAGATAATCCATGTCGAAAGTCGTAGTAATTACTATTGATGATTTAAATCATTACACAAAAATTTTTACAAGTTAATTCCATGTTTTTACTGATTGTGAGATAAAATTTTCAAATCACTATAAATAACATAAATAGCGTTTGTATGACAAAATGAGTACATCAAATATTAAAATAAATTGCCGTTGAGAGCCAACACTGGATGAAAATGTGTAATAAACTTTATTTAATTACATAAAATTGCAAACGTTTCGACCTTAGTCTAGGTCCTTTTCAATGCAAGAAAAAGTTCTTTAATGAAGTAAATGATGTCATAAATAATCACAATACAAAAACGAACTAATAGCTGTATGGTGTTGTCCACTAGCAAACAAATATCGCAATCATTGAAGTGAAAAATTCACTGAAATAAATAGTGTAATCGTGTGAGATTTTAGAATTAAAGAGCAATATAAATGAATAAATAGTATGATACAAAACTTACATGATTGTCGAAGATTTGAAACGTAATATCATCATAAATATTTCATTAATTTCACAGTTTACTAATGAAATAAAATACATAAAAAGAATTTAATAATTGATAACTGGTTGATATGAATAAAATGTAATATGACAAAATATAAAAATGAATGTCTATAAAAACAAAACTTACATGGAAGTATAAAATGAATTTAAAACGATGTTGAGTACATATTTTCTAACAATGAGTACATATTTTATTAGTTGGGACAATGCGTTCAGATATGAAATAAGATGTTGTCAAGTCAATATTTAAAAACGTTATAACTGACATTAAGATAAATCATATTTTTGAAAAAATGAAATACTTAACTATAAATTATATTTATTTCGTATTCGTATTTTATTAGGAAGTATATAATATTTGATATCTTTTTATGCACTTGATATACGTTTTTCTTTATTTAAAAAGGATTTTTTTAAGAATTTTGATATATATGATGAACAATTTTTCACTTATAATATCATTAGGAGAGATTGAGTTTTACTCTAAGCTTCACGCCCACTCTGGACAGCAAGTCACCGAATCCAGTATTTCCTGAACATCCAGAAGAATATCTAAGCCGTGGGACTCAAATACCCTTCCTTTTAGGATTCAATCGTAACGAGGGAATATTTCTTATACGAAGCAACTTTTTCGGAGGTAGAAAATATTACATTTTGTTGCATGCGTGCACGTTTTTAATAAATATATAATATATCCTTAATTGTTTCTTTTTTATTTCTTTACATGAGTTCTTTTTACAATGTCGCCTATTAAAAATAAAACAAAACGCCAAAAATTACGATATTCTTCGCAATATATTTATTAGAATAAAATTAAATATTTTAACGAATTCGTTTACTCGTAAACAATTGTCTCTCTTTATTATTAGTTTTAAAAGCTTATCGAGCCTTATTATTAACATGTTTTAAAAATAATACAATTTTGATATTTAACAAATACGCTGTTAATATTTATAAAAAGATTTTCATAATATATAGATATATACTTTTAATGTTATTATAATATTCAAAAATGAATCTTTTTACTGCGCAATTATCAAGTTCGCATATAAAAATTGTAACTATTAAATAATTCAGTAAATTTCAAAACAAATATATTGTTTTAACACATTAAATAATTATTTCTTCTAAAATAGCTTTCTAATAGGTTTTGTGTATGTTCACCAACATTTAAATCTACTAAATAAATAATAAAAATATGCATATTATTTATGTTTATTTAACAGTAACATATTGTTTTGTATGTATCTAATTGGTTTATTTTTATAATAAAAATGTTATTATGTTATTTTTGAGATAGTTATTTTCCATAACTTTATAAAGTCAATTATTTTTTAGTAAAATACCCATGAAATATTATTTGTTCAACAATATGTCAATATAATGTTTTTTTTTAAATTGTTTCAGATGTAAGCGACGAAGATCTAGAGAAAGTAAATAATAATTTTAAAAAGGGAATATTAGCAAATGTATTATCCACATTACCTGACATAGGAACTACTGTCGAAGAATTACGATCCTTCTATTTCGGAAAAAAAGATATATCACGGGAAACTTTGACGAATTATTCGAATTTCTTAGGAGATGAATTTTTCGTACGCGGTATAAGAGATGTAGTTCAATTTCAAAAGTCTTCTGGTGGTTACAAATCGACGTATTTATATCATTTCGATTATGAGAGCGAAACTTCTATTATGAAAACATTATTAGACATCGGACTTCCAGGTATATTGTCATTACTCATTAGTTAATTAATACAATCACAATATATCTTATGTCAAAAAGTACAAACATATTTTTATCGATTAACAATTCTATTATTTCTGAAACTTTATATCCAATAACACACACGCACGCACGCACGCACGCACACACACAGTACATTCAATTATGTTTAGTTTATAATAATTGTGTATAAAAATAATAAAAATATCTTATGTAACAAAAAAATTAATATCTAAAAATATTTAGAAAACTTAAGAATTTTGAGGAAATTTGAAAATTATGTGAATTTGAATTTTTAAAAATAATTTACTAATATAAACAATATTTTGCAGGAGTGAGCCATATAGAGGATTTAGGTTTCTTATTTTTCCCAGAAATTGCAAATACAGATTATCAATTGTCGTGTTATGAACCTGGTTCAAATGATGACAAAATAGTACATCATTTTGTGCAAATGTGGACGGATTTTGCTAAAACAGGGTACAAGAATTTTTTTCTTATTCTACACAAATTTGGTAAACATTTATTTTGTAACTACAAACATATATTAATTCAAACTGATTTTTAGAAATCCAACACCTACTACAAAATTATGGTTACCACTAATTGGTCCGCAAAACAAAGACTACAATTATTTAAATATTGATTTAAATCTACAAATGAAAATGTTTCGTAATCGAAAGGAACGCTGGGATTGGGAAAGTCTTTAAAAGAATGTGCTAACGTTATCTTATGTATTTAATGTTATCTTAACAATTAAAATTTAATTTTCTTTTATCATCTTTTGTTATTTGTTGAAAAATAAATATATATACAATAAACATTCTCTAGCAGATTTTCAAAGATATTTTTTTTATCTTAAAATTACATTCCCGTAGAGACGCTAAAAATAATGAAATTAAGAAAAAAATTATTATACGTATTCTTGTTTTAATATTTATTTCAGCATTGGAGAACGTGTAAAATATGTATGTAATTACATTTCAAAAAGTGTTGTCCTTCATATTGGGCCTCCATCTACAAAAATAACTAATGTAACCAAAATGCATACGTACCTCATGCCACTTTTATCTAAAACATTTTTAATACCATCAATAATGAAAGAAATGTTTAAAGTTTTCAAATTAAATGTAGATTATACGCACATCATGCAGCTACAAAAATAATGAACTTCAACTGAAATAATCGCACATTCCAAACTAATATAGCAAGTTACAGTAGTTTAAATAAAATTCAACACTGAAAATATGTCCAGACGACACATGTACCTATTAAAATCAGGAGACGTGGTAATGTCTCGGCATACTTCGCGTGGAAAGTTTACGTTTCTGAATAGGGAAAGGTGTAGAATAGTACTTCATATTACACATGTATAGCATATACTTTAAAACTATGATTGTTAATAACTTTTTAACGAAGGACGAGCGACAGCTAAAACCAGTCGAGGGTTACTCAGGGCCATGACCTTGACAACATATGTCAAGGTCAAAGTCATTGGAGAGGGGTCTCCTCATCGACACATTACCTTATTTTTTGTCTGCGATGATTTTTCACCGAGTTACGGTGTTCTAAAGATTACCTAATTTTTAGCGTGTTTGAAAGTGTTCCCTATTTTTTGTTGAATAGTTTATATTATATTTTGTTATGCACTGCACCGTATGCAAACTTATATTTTTGATCCTTATTTTGTAATGTTTCAATTTAACTGATTATACACATAGGTATTTTATAATGGTAAACAAATTTCGAGTTTTCTGTACAAAATGGCTGTTTCGTAATTTTATAAAAAATTATCGTTTGCTTGTCACAAATAAACTATTACTTTATTTATTACTGATAGACTATATGAATTGAATTTTACAAAGTAACGCCTTGTCGAACGTTTCGTCGCTGACTGATTGATCATGCTCATCGACGAACATCGTATTGATAAGCGCCTGCGTAATAAATAAATCGCATTCCAATGTAATAGCGACCACGTCGATCACTAATTAATATACATATATTAGCGTTATGTAATAAGAAAAAAATTTTACAAGTGTAATCAACCTCATTAACAATGGCATTTGATTCATTTCAATCGACCCGTTTGTTGCAAAGTTATGACTTATTTTTAATTTCAATTTGTTCCAAATGATTATCCCGCATTTCATGAAAAAAATTTGTTTGCTTAATACGAAATTCCAGTAAATTTAACGAGAATGCGATATATAAATAATATAATGTAATTTACCACATCGGCAATTTTCCAATCGACAAAGAATGTTGATTTAAAATTGAATGAGACAACGCCTCAGCGGTCTAAGCTGAATCACGGGTGGCTTCTAAATAATTGCGTAGGATGAATTCATATACTACGTATGTATTCTTCGATTGCGTGCCAAAATTTTTTCAGACTTGAAACGCAACACTAATAAACTACCGTAGTAATATCACGAATTAAATTGACTAACAATTTAACGATTATTAACGCTGTTTACAAATCTTATATCGATCTTAATAATATTGAAAACCTATTAAAAACTGTAAATAATTAAATATCTTATTGCAATTAATAAATTGCAATATCAGTTACTTTTCATAATAATATATTATTATTAGATAAAAAGGTTTAAGTTTTTGAGGATCTTTTTTCGAACATGGTTTAACCGATTTTACATTTTTTTTAGTTCAAATTACTCGTAGCGATGTCGCCTTTCAGGATATATTATATAACGTGCAATTTAAAATTTGTTATATTTTAGTAGTTATGCAAAATATGAAAAATGGACTTTAGTTTGGGATAACAGATTTGTAGTGCCTATTATTAATCTTTTAAATTTAAATTAACTAATAGTTTTTTGAACATGGCCGGAGACACCACCGCGTCTCCTGATAGATATAATTTTATCACACATTTACTCCAGAACGGAATATTCCCAAATCACAAAAACATTATTATAGTATAATTTGTAAGTATGAAAAGTAGCAGTGGAAGAATAAATACAAAATTTTTTATAAAATATGGAAAGAAGGAGAAAAGAAAGCAAGCGAAGGATAGAAAGGAAATAGATTGTGATTATTGTAATTCCTGATGTTTTTAAATCAATATAATAAATCAATATAACTCAGTCTATATACTAATATGTGCTATTTTATTAATGTTTTATTGAACAATATACTCGTAATACATTCTCATATTATTTTAATAATAATAAAAGTTGAACGTGAAGTACACTCTTACGCAAGTACAGCACGTCCATCGAATGTATGCTTTTTAAGGAAACGTGTACCTACATACTTTGTGTGTAACAAAAAATAAAATGTTAGCGTACCACTTCTAAACTTTTAGTTTTATTTTCAACCTATAAATAGCTCAACTCATCGTTTTTATTTTCTAACGATAAATAAAATTGCGTGCATATATAAGAAAACAATACGGGATGGGACTATAATATTGTTCTGAAATTATCAAATATGTATGAAAATTTAGTTTTTATTACACTATTTTACGTATTTCTAGTGCAAGTAGATAAAACTGATTAGATAAGAGACAAATTTTACATAATGAAATGTTACATTAATAATCTTGTATCGTAATCGTATTAAAATAAATGTATTTTTACCGCGGATATACCTGTGTATATTTTTAATATTTAGAGTTATAATTTCTTTTTATAAATATGTATATTATATGTGAGTAACGTTGTAAAAGCATTGTGAAAGTTGCTTGAGTGACAAACTGAATTGGCCTGTGTGTGTGTGTGTGTGTGTGTGTGTGTGTGTAACAAATACCTTTTACCGATTAAGAGACTCAAGATCTTAAGATTATATATGTATCTAACGACTTATTAATCGGACACGTCACAATCGAAAATTCGTTATGACTAAATTGGAGTATCAATATTACGATGCAATAGATTTGTCATCACGATTTAAGTTTTTGGAACACTATAGCTGAAAGTTTATTTGACGTTGGCTTTCTGGATAAAGTTAATGCGCCATACGTATGCGCAATGATGTTTATGTCACTCGGTTCGATCTATTCTTTGTCCTTAATTTCTTGGAAAAACGTTACTGCAGTGTCGATCCGTACGAAATACAATATCTGTGATTCGTTTTAAAAACATCTATAAAAAAAAATTAAAATTGACTATCATATATAGGATCTATGTATATTTTGCCCACTTTATCTCATCAGGCCGTTTTTAAAAAAAGTTGTATCTTATTACAAATATTATTACCATAATTGATAAACTAACTCTATTAAAAGTTAGCTAAGGCATATTGTTATCCACCATTATAGTTCAATTGCAATTTATAATGTCAAAAATTAATAAAAGCTCAAAAAGGAGTACAAAAATTCACATACGGACTTTATATTTTATTATAAGATCTGCGACGCCTCTTTGTCGCAAACGATGTTACACAATAATTTAATATAATATCAACGATCTATAATAAAGAGGACGAAAAGCTCCGTCATATCTTTATTAGTTATACAAAATTATTAGTTATACAGAATTATTAGCTTTTTAAGAATCATTTTCTAATTACAAAAAGTAATTCTCGGCATCCTGTAATACTGTGTGATAATATATTATACATACGTTCCTTTCCATGATACAAATCAATATGAGTCAGCATTTATACCATTCTTCTTCATCATTTAATAAATTAACAGTTAAATTTTAATTAAAAACAATGAGTCAAAAGATAGTAAGCATATCATGCTTAAATTCAGATGAATGGATAATTTTTAATAAGTTACATTCTTGTACTGAAGCAAAACTGTACGTAAATACAATATAATGTTCACTGAATTAACGAAAATCAAATAAATATTCATAATAATTTAGATTATAAAAATATTATTAAAACTTATTGCAAGAATAAATATTTAATTTTATTAATGAATCCCCAGTTACTGTATTATTAAATTAACTTTCCATTAAATTTGATTTTTAAATTTGACATTGATTAAAGACCATACGTTGGACCAAAATTTTTTTCAGTATGTTACAAGCATTATATTACGTATATATATCTTTAATTTACAAAAAATGTTATATTGTGAGCATTAACTTCTATATACTACGTAAAACACTTTATCAAAGTCACCTTCAACTCTAGTCGATACTACATGCAAAGTGTCGTAAATAAATATCATTTATGAAGTACTTTGGAACCTAGTATAAAAAATTAATATTGCAAGAGAGAGAGAATAGTTACATCTATACACGTTTCTGCTTTTGAATAATACATACGTACAAATAAAAACTATACTAGAACAATGCAATTTACTCTGTATCATCTGTGTACTTATTATTCGGTCGCTCAGTACTTGTTTTAGTTAATACACATCCTATGTACTTTAACCTACAATATAAGCACTTCACAGTGTAATTCTCCTGCGGTTTTCAGAGGATCTGTACAAACTATTTCTGAAATTCTTATAAAAAGTATTTAAAATCTTACGTTTGTCTTTTGTACAACAAGAATTAATTCAAGTTACTATGATAAAATCGCTACAGTCAGCGCTGGTACCATTATTTATTTTAAGTTCGGTCCACTGTTTGAGCATGTTTGAATATCCACTTGGACAATCTAGGTTGTATTTCTCTTGCCTGTATGCTTTGGCCATATGGAGTACTTTAATGTACTTTTATTATCCACTATTCATTAACCTATGGCAGTACAATTTAACAGTGTTAATAGTAACTTTTTTTCCTGT